ATACGTGTCTCACTTCCTTGTTTGTCATTTTTTCCCCCTCAAAGATTGTCGAGTTCCTATTCTTCCAGATCACTGCACAGCAGCCTGCCCTTGCAACCTGGGCTATATACCCAATTCCCTTGCTAATCTCCAGGTTACGTTTCTCTTATTGCCTTTTAAGTTATCCCCATACTTATCTATCGCATAATCTTCCTCTAAGGAAGTTTTGTTTTCTTATAATTTTTTGTTTGGCGATTTGTTGGGCTTCAAGTCAGGCCACCCGGGCCACATTNCCCCCCCCCAAAAAAAAAAACCATATGTGATGCAAAAAAATAAATTGAACAACTTTTGTCTCAGGGTCATACTGAAACTCGTTACCAAATCTAAAATAAAAAATATTGTCCTAGGCTACCAGAGTGATATGGAACCACTTGCCCGATCAGGCAAAAAAGTTAAAATCTATAAATGTATATATAATTGTCAAACAGAGCTACCCAGTAAACCGTAGGCGGAAAGAAAAAAGAGGATAACAAATGAGGGGTTGTGACAAACTGTTTCGTTGGAATTTTTATTATTATTACTATTATTATTATTATTATTATTATTATTATTATTATTATTTTTATATTTGATAAAGAATGTCGATATGACCCTGGGACTAAAGTTGTCTAGGTTTTTGTTTTATAACAATGATAACATATATTTTTTTATTTTTTTATTTTTTTTTTAATGTTGGGTGCCTCCTTAGTCCTTGCATATCCTCGCCGCCCAAAAAAATAGGTTAAACCATCAGTCCATCGGAGGCTGAATTGTCGAACCAAAAAGTGCATTTATCGGAGCCTAACATCTATCGTGATCATATATTCAACCAGGTGTGACATTGTGCTAGTACCAACAACATGTGTAACAAAAATAAAAGGTAGGAAGCCAATCCTTACAGTAGTAGTTTGCCTATCCGTTTTGTTTCAATTTTTTGTCCTTTGTTTGTTTTTACTTTTCGAGGTTGGATCTATTTTTGTTTTGTTTTGACAAGGCCACGTTTTTTAGATATAGTCATTGGGTAAGGAAAAAAATGAGGCATCAGGATTCAAACTTAGGGATGTATTTGAAGAGTTGGTGGGTGTACCAACTGAGGGCATGCTCACACTATGCTCTGGACATGATTGCAACTAGATTCATTCGTGTATGACCATAATTACAGTGAAATGCATGTAAAAAGTTATAGTGTGAATCGACCCTGATGTATGCCCGTCGACTCTTTCCTTTCCTTTGACACAAAGTGCAGTTGTCCACCCTGCTGAGTTGACAGATAATTTTTTTTTTCTTTTTCTGTTAATTATTTTTGTACTTCTTTTTTTCTTTCAAAAGCGTAACGACCTTGAGGTGTCATCATTGCACTTTCCTAGCCAAAAGGCAGAGAAAGGTAAAAACTTGTCTTATGGTAGATGCATTTAAACTCCGGTTTGTATTTCAAAAGTTTTTGGGAGAAACAACAGTTCGCCATGTTAAGTTGGGAGGGCAGTTTTCACTGAAAATGACATGGCAATGAAACTGCATGGGCATGTTTTACTACACAATAGTATTCCAACACTCCAGAGACCATCCCTAAGCTTGCAAAGTGTTGCGAAGTGGGGCACGACTCTATGTAACATGTCGTGTGACACAGTGGCACTCTCTTTCAATCGTGGGCCCGCCGGCCTCACCCCCACCAAGTCTCCTCCATGCCTGATCACTATAGATTTCGACACGGTACTTGTTACAAAAAAAAAAAAAAAAGTAAATGGGGTAATGGACTGGTGGTTTAACCCACCTGTTCCTCGCCCTGCTTGAAATCTCCGACGTGGCGCATTAACGGCCACGTCGGACGTTGGTCGTCCAACAGAAAACCGTTCGTTCTAATTTCTATGCTACAATGCAAAAACAAAAAAAAAACAAAGACACAAAAAAAAGACACTTTGTTGAATGCAACGATCATCGGGGAAATATAGTGCAATAAGCTGTGGTCTAACTAGTCCTTGCTAAAACAGAACTGTCTATAGTCTGCCGTAGTCTTACTATGTTCTTTTTTTCTTTTTTTTGGGTATATTTTCCTTTCTTTCAGATTCTCCTGCCAGTCTGGCAGGTCGTGTTTCGTGATATGCTCGAACGCCCTCATAAAGGGCATACCTACACTGACACTTCCAAGAATGTATCCGATTGATTTCATGGGCAAAGCGATGTTTTTTTTTTTTTTTTTTTTTGTCTTTCTTCTTCTTATAGATTCTGAAAATGTGGGGGCATTTCTTTTTTTTTGGTCTTTTTGTTCTGATAGATCTTACAACAACGTACTGGGGCTTGGACGCCCTCACAGAGGGCATGCTTACACTAGCACTTCGGCGGATGAACCCAACTGCATTCACGTCCCTAACGATCCTTTTTGTTTTTTTATTTTCGTTCTTTTTTTTTGCTACTGGTTCGCCCAGCCTTGGCCCCTCTGCTACTGGTACTACCAGGCTCAGCAGGCTCGGCAGGCTCGGCATACCGGGCGTCGGAGGGTTGGACAGCATAGCTGGTAGGCTAGATGCTTTTTTTTTTGGAAAGGGGGGGGGGGTTGGTTGGGTGAGCAAGTTGGCCTGGGCCGCTCTGGTAGTCCCAGGTGATTCCCCCCAGGCCGCTCTGGTAGCCTAGGTGATTCGGCAAGAACAGCATCCAGAAGTTTGCAATTTCTGAATATGTTTTTATACCTGTGTGTCATGGGTTATGACCTGTGGGTTGTTTGTGACTGAGGGTCTCGCCACACCACTCTCGAAATGTGGAAAAGACAAAACTGTGCCGGGTGCATCTGGCCATGTTCTAGCAGCGAGTTCATTCTCATTTTGCACATTTCGAGAGTGGTGTGGCCATGCCCTGATTCCAGGAATTGAGGAGGCGTGACTTGCGAAGTATGAAACCTGGAGTGGGCGAAGTCATAAGTCTGAAGTTGGCAGGCACGGAAGTTCTGCAAGGCCAGGCAGGCACGTCGGTTGTGCAAGGACAGGCAGGCTTTTTTCGCTGAGTTTCAGGGACAGGCGGATAAAACAGCAGCCAACAGGCAGGGACTGTTCGGCAATAGGGAATCAGTCGGTCGGTAGGCATTTCCACTTCCAGCAATAGGTAGGTCCACAGGCCCTGTCTGTCCAGAGACAGGTCCTGAATTTATTATTATTACCTTTTTATTATTTTTTTATATATTTTTTTCAGGTCCTGATTTTAGACTATGCGGTCCGAATTTGTACGGTAACGATGGTAGCTCTACGAGCAGCGAGGTACTGTTTCCCGCCAAAACAGGACCCTCCCCCTTCCCGCCAAGATTAGAGCAGAGGCTGCAGCGCGCGGTGGCAGCCAATCGCGGGAGTCCCACCCTCTCTGCCTTACTTTAGAAGAATCTGGCCCGAGCTCAAATTCGCGGAGACGACGATGCTGCCGTTATACTGCGGGAAAGCTGGAGCGCTGCCCGGGAAGCTTAGGAGCAGCCAGCGGGGGAAGAAGTGATATTTCTTCTTCCTCTGCCGCCTCCTCTTTTCCTGGCCAGGCCGGCTTGGCGCGCTTGGGTTGTTCATCACTTTGTGTTGGGCCTTAGCGGACTTGAGGTGGAGACCGGGCTTACGACCTCCATAGCCAAAGCGGCGAAAGCTCAGGGGGGTTACGACCCCCATAGCCAAGAGGCGAAAGCTCAGGGGGCGGGGTTACGCGATCTCCATAGCCACGTGGCGAAAGGCCAATTAATTGAAAAGTGGTTATGGGTTGGTTGCACGCGCTTTGTGAGGGTAGGATTGGCAGGCTTTGAACAATCGAGTCATCATAGTGGGCGCGGAGGGGGAGGTGATGGTGCCAGGGAAAGCTTGGTTATGGTCGTTCGTCAGATCGGATCAGTCTGTATCAGCCTTCAAGTCCTTGAGAAGACGAAGTAGGCGGACCTTGATGAGGACCAGAAAGATGATCTCGAGGAGGGGATTGTTGACTCTTGTTGGGTGTAATGTTTCTTCTTGACGACCCTCTGCTGGCTCCCCCTTCCCTTGTCTGTTTACTCTCCTCCGTCTCTCTCTTCTCACATTTCCTCCACCTTTTCTCATCCCGAAGTTGAGTACATGTACCGGCCAGATCAAACTCCACTCTTTTGGTGCACGTGCAATGCTCTTCTAGTATCATAGAATTGCAATTGCTCACCCAACAGAATTTGCGCGCACGCTCGCGTCTGTCTGTGGGTGGGTGGGTGTGCACACACACACACACAAACACACAAGAGAGAGAGAGAGAGAGAGAGAGAGAGAGAGAGAGAGAGAGAGAGAGAGAGAGAGAGAGAGAGAGAGAGAGAGA